CCTCTGCAAGCCTCATCTGTGCAGATGATAAGCTTGGAACCTCCTCGGTTTGTGAAAATGAAACAAAACAACGGAAATGAAGCACTTAGCACCATTCCTGGGACATAATAAATGCTCAATAAACATGAGCTGAGTGGGAGAATTCCAAACAGGCTTCCCAGGGAAGGACAAGCCCCATTCAGAAGGAGTGAAAGCCTACAGATAAACAAAGGGAGGGTATTTGAGGGTCAGAGAAAGGGGCTGGGTGCGCTCACAGGGCAGAGCTCTAATGACAAGAGAAGCCGTCCCCACCCCCGCAGCCTTCCTCCGTCAAGTCCCTGCGCCCTGAGCGTCTGATCCGCACCTCACTGGACCTGGAGTTAGACTTGCAGGCAACGAGAACCTGGCACAGCCAACTGACCCAGGAGATCTCGGTGCTGAAGGAGCTTAAGGAGCAGCTGGAACAAGCCAAGAGCCACGGGGAGAAGGAGCTGCCGCAGTGGCTGCGCGAGGACGAGCGTTTCCGCCTGCTGCTGAGGATGCTGGAGAAGCGGGTGAGTGCGGCTCAAAGGCAGGGGAGCCCTACGTTCTGTCCCAGGGAGTGGGGGGCACTGCCCCGGGGAAGACAGGCCAGAGCTCATGATGCATCCTGCCATTCCCACCACAGGTTTCACTGAGGGTGTTCCACCCATCCCTCGTTCCCATCAGCAGAGGGATCCAGGAATCCCTTTGCCCACTCAGCCTTATTAACCCTTCACCTGGCTGCAAGGCCCATTTACTGCATTTGTTGATGTGTTTTTGTGTGCTGGCCCTTATTATTCACACATGTGCTCATCATGCAGTTCTTTATGAAATACATTGGGCACCAAATCTGTGCCAGGGCACACACTTTAACAGAGTAACAATAGGACACGGACCTGCCTCAGTGCCTGCCCAGGCAGTCCCACAGGGCAGCCCTTGCCAAAGCAGGAGAGGGGCTGGTCATTCCCGGGCTTTCTGTTAACAAGGATCCCTGGAGTACAAGCCTGCTGGCATCTCTGCCCTGCTATAGTGAGTTTAAGGGTTGATCAAGGAGAAAGATATAACCACAAAATGGTGTTAGCACACACACAAGTTTTATATTAGTTGTGCTTTTTTTGTTTTGTTTTGGAGACAGGTTCTTACTCTGTTGCCCAGGCTGCAGTGTGGTGGCACAACAACAGCTCACTGCAACCTCCATCTCCCAGGCTCTATCGATCCTCCCACCTGAGCCTCCTGAGTAGCTGAGATGACAGGTGCATACCAATATACCTGGCTAATTTTTGTTTTTCTGTAGAGAGGAGGTTTCACTTTGTTGCTCGGGCTGGTCTCGAACTCCTGGGCTCAAACAATCTACCCACCTTGGACTCCCAAAGTGCTGGGATTACAGGCATGAGCCAGTGTGCGTGGCTTGCGCTGTGCTTTGACAGGTTTGCATGCAGGAGAAGTCCCTCACAACATGAGACCTTCCAAAGGGGCTGGGGGCTACTACCCAGTGTGGAAGAAGTCAAGGGAACTCCCAGGGGAGAGCTGGGGGAGAGGGCCATCCAGGTGAGATAGCTCTGCAGCAAGATGGGGAGTCTCTGGGTCAGAGAACTCCAAAGCCACAGCAGCAGATTGGAGTCTCTTATAGACCCAGGGCGTATCTTATCTATAGCTAACAAATCTTGGATACAGTTTCACAGGGTATGCAAAACACAAAGGTTGTATATTTCTTTAAAAGCTGCTTATTTGAGCTATATTTAAAACAACTGGAAGGGTAAAAATTTGAGTTTGGCACCAGCAGGCTTTTGAGCCAACACGTCCCAGACTACCATGAAGAAATAATACAGGGCCAATATACAAGGGCCATTCTCTACTCTTTTATAAAAAATAATACCTGCCACTCTGTGATTGCCACCCACGGCTAGAAAGACCTTTGCTAGTTCTCTCTGCACGCAGCCAGACTTGCTGAGAGCACCTTACACAGGGAGCCTACCTGAACTTTCAGGAGGGCCATCAGCTGAAATCTCAGCGCTCCGTGCAGGTGCTGATGCCCTAGGGCGGGAAGATGATGCTGGACTTCTTAGGCCTGGACTGATGTGGCAGCTTCAAACTGACTCTGGCAGTTCCGAAGTTCCAGAAAAGTTTGTTTCTTTCTTATTTATACCCTGTTTACTTACAAACAGCATTATAACAAGAGCATTGAGGGAAAATAGAAAATTGCAAGGCTTAAAGGAGGAGAAGGAAATAAATATATCCCAAACCTAAAGTAACCTAGTTATAGTTAGGTATTGTATCTATCTTTGAGCTTCCTGGTAGCCAAGGCGAAAAGAAATCAGAAAATAAGTGCCTATGTGCCCTACCTTAACACTTGATCTTAGTCAAAAGACTAAGAAGTAATACATGCCCTGACTTAAGAAAAACAAGGAAAACTTGACCTTTCAATAGTAAAAAAAATAAAATAAAAAAGTAAGATCTATGCTTTCTAACAAAGAATCTTTGAAATTATGGCTTTATTTACCAAACTTCTGTCTTTGTGCAATGTTTTCAAGTATATGGTACGTGGATAGTTTAGAGTTGTCTGTGGTTTGTTCTCCAAAGTGTTTGCATGGGTTTACATTAGGAGAAAGGGGCATAGTGTTATACCCAAGCTTCTTAAGAACCACTGCATAGCTTGAGGTTGGGTTTTTTCCTCTTCCTAGTTGTCTCACATTAAAAAAATTTTTTTTTTTTTTTTTTTTTTTTTTTTTTTTTTTTTTTGAGATGGAGTCTCACTTTGTTGCCCATGCTGGCATGCAGTGGTGTGATCTCAGCTCACTGCAACCTCCACCTCCCAGGTTCAAGTGATTCTCCTGCCTCAGTCTCCTGAGTAGCTGGGATTACAGGCATGCACCACCACACCTGGCTAATTTTTGTATTTTTAGTAGAGATGAAGTGTCACCATGTTGGTCAGGCTGGTCTCGAACTCCTGACCTTGTGAGCCACCGTGCCCAGCCAAATAAATTTCTTACTATGCCAGAGCCTCGGTTCCCTTGGTAAAATAGAGGTAATAGCATCTATCTTCATAGGTGGCCTGAGGATTAGAGGTAGCGCACATTTCACCAGGCACCCCTCATCTCCTTACTTCCTCAGATCCACACAGGTATTCAGATCCCTGGCCCCAAAAATCTAGTCACTCAAACAGATGATTTGAGCACTTCCTATTCTCATTCTGAATGAAGTGGATCCCACGTGGAGCAGGAGTGAGAATGCCTTCCCTACAGTAGCCCCCTCGGTTGTGATAGCGAGTTCTCCTTGGCTGCCCCTTTCTGGAGGCCCCCTCCACTGACTCAGGGCCTTGCTTGCTTTGCCCAGCAGATGGACCGAGCAGAGCACAAGGGTGAGCTTCAGACAGACAAGATGATGAGGGCAGCTGCCAAGGATGTGCACAGGCTCCGAGGCCAGAGCTGTAAGGAGCCCCCAGAAGTGCAGTCTTTCAGGTAAGCAGAGGGCCCCGGCAGCCCCTCTCTCCCTTTCTCAGCCAACCCACCGGCCTTAGCCTTCTGTCTCTGGTCTCACTGCTCCCATCCCTTGCTCACAGAGCACTGGCTTTCTCTGTAACCGATGTTCATCTTCCACCAAGCCATACTTGGCGATCCATGAGCTCTGCAGGACCCTTCCCCTGGCTGTCTTTATGGTCCCCACACAACTGAGCTAATTTGTTAGATCCTCTTGTTTAATGAATGAGCTACCTGCTCCAGCCTTCCCTCGTAGTGTTTTATTTTTTTATTTTTATTTTTATTAATTTTTTTTTAAATTTTTTTTAAAGATGGGGTTTCACCATGATGGCCAGGCTGGTCTTGAACTCCTGACCTCAGGTGATCCACCCACCTCGGCCTCCCAAAGTGCTAGGATTACAGGCGTGAGCCACTGCGCCTGGCCCCTTGTAGTGTTTTCATCACTGGTAATTGCGGAGGTTGATAAATAAGCCTGGGGGTGATGGTTGCTCGCTGGGCTTCCCTGGCTCTGCCTGCCACCTGCTAGGATCTCAGGAAGGTGCTTTCTTGCCATGCTGGACCCCAGTGTATCCTTGGAGGGCCCTGAGTGCCATTTGGCCTGGACCTCCCATTCACAGAGGGCCTAGCGTTTAGACTTCTGATGTCCTCTCAGGTACATGTTTGTGTATGTGCTAAAAAAAAAAAAAAAAAAAAAAACTCCTTTGTGAAATAAACATTTAAAATGCACAATAATTTGTACAACTGTCTTTGGGCATCTCTTAACTTTTTAACAAATTGAGAATCTAAAACAAACATTGGAAGTGGCCCAAGGGTCCTTTGAAACTCTGAGAAGCCTCTGATTTGATTTGAACTAAGGGTCATTGTTCATGCTAATGGTCCTTTAAAGCAGTGGTTCTCAACCAGGGGTGATTTCTCCCCTTCCCTCTGGGACGTTTGGCAATGAGCATACATTTTGGGTTGTCATAACTGGAGGTCAAGGATACGGCTAGCATCTAGAGGGTAGAGGCTGAGGACATTGCTAAACATTCTGCACTGATGTACAGGACAGCCCCCACGACAAAGAATTCTCCTGCCCAGAATCTCTGTAGAGTGAGGTTGAAAACCCCTGCCCTAAAGGGATGGCCTCTCTTATAGGGAGAAGATGGCATTTTTCACCCGGCCTCGGATGAATATTCCAGCCCTCTCTGCAGATGACGTCTAATTGCCAGAAAAGTGTTTCCTTCGTTCTACTGACCAGGCTGTGAACTTTGACTGTGGCTAAAGTTATTTATGTGGTGTTATATGAAGGTACTGAGTCACAAGTCCTCTAGTGCTCTTGTTGGTTTGAAGATGAACCGATTTTTTAGTTTGGGCCCTATTGTTATTATTAAAAACAAGAACAAAACAAAACACACAAAAAAACAGAAACAAAAAAAAAACCAGCATTAAAATGATAAGATTGTATAGTTTGTATATTTAGGAGTGTATTTTTGGGAAAGAAAATTTAAATGAACTAAAGCAGTATTGTGTTGCTGCTCTTCTTAAAATCCTTTAGATTTTTTTGTTTGTACAGCGCCACCTTTTAGAGGTCTTACTGCAATAAGAAGTAATGCCTGGGGGACGGGAATCCTCATAGGACGTCCCGCACTTGTCACAGAACAGCTAACTTTTCCTAGTTAACATATTTTGTACAATATTAAAAAAAAATGCACAGAAACCATTGTGGGGGGGATTCAGAGGTGCATCCACGAATCTTCGTGAGCTGTGACGTGTTTTTATGTGGCTGCCTGACATGGAGCGGGCGGTGTGATAGGCTGGGGGGCTAAGCAGCCCAGCCTATGTGGGTTTCAGGCCACGCTGGTCTCAGATGCCCAGTGAAGCCACTAACGTGAGTGAGGGGAGGGCTGTGGGGCGCTCCATTCAGTTTTATCTCCATCAATAAAGTGGCCTTTCAAAAAGAATCCCTTCTTGCTCTTGTTCTCTTCTCCACCCCTCACTTGGTCTGTGTTTCCCTGATTTTTGACTCTCCCTTTTCCAGTCATTTCTTTCCCACCCATCCCCAGTTTAGGAAACATTTATGTTTTCTTTTGCCCACTCCTTTCATTTGCTCATTAAGTTTAAATGACTGCTCAAATCATTGGGAATCCACATCCCCAAGTTAGATTGGGGATGCTCTCTGCACTGTCTCCTTCTATGGAATTTCACCCCACCCAATGAGAGGTGACTTCACAGTTTCTTCATATGAGCATCATTCCATGTCGTCCCCAACCCAGGGATACTAGGTCCTAGAGCTTATGTGTTTCATGCTGCTTATGTGGCCCGTATTCCTGCCCAGCTCAGAGCTTTGCAGGGTCTATTGCGTCAACATCAGAAGTCAGCCTCTAACAAATAGCAACAGCCACAAATCTCTTCCTCCTTTCTCTCTGACATTACCCTGTTGTACCACCCAGCAAAGCATGCTGCACCAGCTATATCAGAATCACCTGGGGCAGCCTATTAAAAATGCAGACTGTCAGGCCCCTCTCTAGACCCACTAAACTATCCTACCCACCCTGGGACTGTCCCCAATGCCAGTGTTTTACCCGTGTTCCCTCTGTAAGTCTTAGGCATGCTGCAGTTTGAGATCTCCACTGGTATAAAGTGAGTGAAGCCCAGGCAGAGACAGGCAAAATGGTGAGGCCAGTACCCTACTGGTGAGTCACACAGGGAATGCTGAAATTCATGGCCCTCTCCAGGCCACTGGGGACCCGGGGCGGTGATGGAGGGAGTGGTGCCACCTTCACTTGCTGCTGAGGCTCTTCCCCCCTCCCCAGCACACTCCTTACCTGGCTGTCTCTCCTCATGTATAAGGAAGCTCCAGTGATGGAGAATCTACTCTTCTTCCCCCTGTGGCTTCCAGGATCTCTGATAGTCAGTCCCCCCTGGATAGCTGGTATCCAGCGCAATTTCTCACCACTGGCCTGGGCTTCCTCCTGCCCCATGGCATCAATCTCTGATGTTCTCTCTCCTTCCACTGAATTCCACGGGACACATTAAGGGTTGACTTTATAATGTCTTCATATGTGTATCAATCAACATCTTCCCCAACTCACTTGTACCAGGTTGTAGAGCACGAGGATGGTCTCATGCTGCCGTGTGGCCCCCATGCCTACACAGCTCTGAGCTTTGAGGAGGCTGCCCTCCTTGCTGACCCCGTGATCTTTTCTGCTGAGGGCACTGGCCGCAGCAATGGGGCAGATGACCCAAGCTGGCTGTAAGTGACCCATCTCTTTGGCTCCCATGACTAGACCAAGGAGAGGCATGGGGCCAAGCCAAGCCATTCAGAACCCTTCCCTAGCATTTTCCACTCACAGGTTAGAGATGAGAGTTTCTCTTGCAAAGCTCCAGCTTCACGGTGAGGAAAGAGACCCTTAATTCTCTTAAGCTTCTGAGAGCCCTTCCCCCTAGACTTCTATATTGCATTTCAGTAGAAGTAAAGGCTGGCAGACCGGGTGCCACCCTTAATCACACTCCTATAGATCCCTGGCATGGTATGGAGGAATCTTTCCAGAAGGCACTGTTTTTGCTTAAACACGATCAAACCCCCACCTAGTCACGTACCCCACGCCTACTTCATGGATCAAGACCCTTTCACATGTAATTTCTAGAATTATAAGACTTTAAAAGGGCAAGGATTTTCTTCGTCGAAGAGCTCAGTTGTTTGTATTTTCACCTGCTGCAGCTCCCAGCTGAGCAGCAGGTGAAAATACCTTAACTTCCTTCCCTGTTCGGTGTTTGAGAGGTTTGCAGCTGCTCCTGCTTCAATGGGGGCAATGGGATTAGGAAAATGAGGCCAACCTGCAAAGGGAAGCAGATGCAAGGGATGAAGACAGAATGGGGGTGTCCTGGGGATCTTGGAACCTGAATTCATTGGCCCGAGAGGCAGCAGAGGACTGTATTTGCAGTCCATTTGGACTCAATAAAAACTTTGAAGAGCACATATGTTACGAAATTCCTTCTCAGTGACACATTCATCTGTGCTTAGTTCTCCCAGCAAGGGTCAGCCCCTCACACTCCTGCAGCATCAGGTGCTATGAAGCAGAGCTGTAAACACCCTCCCTGTGTATGGGAAAAGCTACATGGAGCAAATCCTCCCACCCGGAGAAGCGCATCTCAGAGTCACTTCAGCTGTGAGGACGTTTGTGGGGAGAACCAGACCGCCTCTGTGGAAGGCCAGAGTCTCTTCCAGCCATGGAGTTGAATTCTCTATAAACACTTCACCAGCAAACCACCATTCAGTTGTTTGCCTAGAGAGAAATTCAAAAATAAATAAATGTTCACTTGTAATGGTGCATGTGTCTTTTCCAGAACCTTCAGGAAACAAAGCTGGGAAATGTAAAATGACGCCCTCAAGCTCACATACATAACAAATGGCTATAGCTAGGATGCTGATCCCATCTTTCAACTCCAAAATCTGTTTCCTTTCAGCTCCAGCTTCTGTTTCACAGTGTGGCATTACCACACTGCACCACAGGAGGCCCTAATTGTAGGGCCTTAGAATCCTTGGTCTTGAAGAATGAAGTCACACATTCCTGTGGTTTCTCTGCATAGGGTGGGGAGAAAGGCAGGGTACCAGGATAGTAGTCTGAAAAAAAGACAGCAAACCTCACTGGCTCTGATTCTCCTGCTCCTAAAGGCAATGGGTTGCCTTTGAGTCCAGACCGTTTTGCAATATGCACACGAGCTTTCTACCTCTCAAGAAGGCTAAGGACCTAAGATTATTCCAGTTAACTATCGCCTGCCTTAGCAGGCTCCAGCCAGGCTGGCCTTTCTTTTGCTCCTTCCCACCACCAGCCCTTTGCAGTCCTAATTCCTTCTGCCTGGTGGACTCTTCCTCCACGTCTTCACACCGACTTTACATGGCCAGCTCCTTCTCACCCTTCAGGTTTCAGCTGAAGCCTCACCCCTCAAGATCCCTCTCCGCCCTGGAGCATAAGCTCTTAAAGCAAGAACCTCATTTGCCTTGTTTTTGTTAGGTCTAATGTAGAGTGGGTTCTTAATATTTGTGAAATGAATTGAATGAATGGATGTGATGAAAGGTCTGCCCCAAAGGTGTATTTGGTTTCTACACCTTTGTCATTCTAATCAGGAAGCCCCTGGGTAGAACAGGGGTACTAAAAGCTGGTTTTGACAGGCACCAGGGTGCAGACCCCCCTTAGATGCAACTCAGGGCGTCATCCCCTGCCCCTAGACACACGTGTGACCCCACAGCATAAAGAAGCAGAAGTGATTGGGAGTTCACACACACACAATGTTTAAATTCTCTGAAGAGCCAAGCATGGTGGCTCATGCCTATAATCCCAGCACTTTGGGAGGCTGAGGCAGGAGGACTGCTTGAGCCCAGGAGTTCAAGACTAGCCTAAGAAACATAGTAAGACCCTGTCTCTACAAAAAGTAAAAATTAAAAAAACAAAAGCTGGGTGTGGTGGCTCACACCTGTAATCCCAGCACTTTGGGAGGCTGAGGCTGATGGATCACCTGAGGTCAGGAGTTCGAGACTAGCTTGGCCAACATAGTGAAACCTAAAATTTTTAGTAGTCTCTAATAAAAATACAAAATATTAGCCAGGTGTGGTGGTGGGTGCCTCTGTAACCCCAGCTACTAGGGAAGCTGAGGCAGGAGAATCACTTGAACCCTGTGCCCTTTATCACGTCAGGGTCACCACCTGAGACGTGGGTCTCACCACCTGCAGAAGTCTGACCTGCAGACCCTGACTCAACTATGGATGAATGAAAGCACTCTCACACCATTACAGTGTTTCAAGTGGGCTAAGGATGGCCGTTGGCTGCTTTCAGAGGGCAAAATGCAACCAATCGACTCAGACCCTCTGTCTGTCCACACATTTATTCCCTTAAGATTTTACAACAGAGGTTCTGAGTTAACACACTTGTGGATCATTAACATGGTTAAGAGAGTGGTTTTATGACTGATAAAAGCTTTAGGTTCTGGGCCTGGAGTAAATGCTGTTAACAGGCAATTCCCCTTTGAACTCCCCCTGAGAGAGCCATCCAGCACAAAGTTAACATGAGTAAACAGGGTGGAGACAAATAGGTATGGGGTAAACAGACTTAACTGGGAAGAGCCTCGTCCCTATTTTTGTCCAAATTTAATGGACCTGCCGGCTGCCTTTGGCCTGCCCCGAATAAAACCTTTTGGCCTTCCAAAAGGTTTGAGACTAATCTATAACTTTTCCTAAATATTTTCTTTAATATTTTGCCAACCACCCCAAGTGAATAGCAGCAGAACTCATGAGGTGGAGGTTGCGGTGAGCCGAGATTGCGTCATTGCACTCCAGCCTGGGCAAGAAACTCCACCAAAAAAAAAAAAAAAAAAAATAGCCAGGCATGCTGACGCACACCTGTGGTCCTAGCTACTAGAGAGGCTGAGGTAGCGAGGATCCAAAGAGGTTGAGGCGGCAGTAAACTGTGATCGTGCCACCACACTCCAGCCTGGGCAATAGAGCAAGATCTTTTCTTAAAAAAAGAATTTTTTTTTTTTAAAAAAAAGCTTATTAGGCCGGGCGCAGTGGCTCATGCCTGTAATCCCAGCACTTTGGGAGGCCGAGGCGGGTGGATCACAAGGTCAAAAGATCAAGACCATCCTGGCCAACATGGTAAAACCCCGTCTCTACTAAAAATACAAAAAATTCGGTGGCTCACGCCTGTAATCCCAGCACTTTGGGAGGCCAAGGCGGGTGGATCACGAGGTCAAGAGATCGAGACCATTCTGGTCAACACGGTGAAACCCCGTCTCTACTAAAACTACAAAAAATTAGCTGGGCATGGTGGCGCGTGCCTGTAATCCCAGCTACTCAGGAGGCTGAGGCAGGAGAATTGCCTGAACCCAGGAGGTGGAGGTTGCGGTGAGCCGAGATCGCGCCATTGCACTCCAGCCTGGGTACAGGCAATTCTCCTGCCTCAGCCTCCTGAGTAGCTGGGATTACAGGCACGTG